TAATATTTATCAATTTATCAAATTTACTTTTATATATTTAACAAAAACCTATGGTACAATTAAATTATTCGATATAATTTCTCAAAGAATCATAAGTCTTCTTATTATGTATTCAATACAATAATGAACCCAAGATGAGCTAAAGTATAGTAAACTTAAAGAAACGAATACTTTTTGCATATTCAAAAAACAGAAAACTTAAAAAAACAGGAAGACAGCCTACTTAAAAAGGGTCGGATAACGTATTGATTTGCATAGAATTAACACACAACATTGATACATACTTCATCGCTGACAGAGTCACTGCACAAGGATGAAAGAGTTAAAACTGTGTCCGTTTCATCATTTTTATCACAGACGGTATTGAAACTGTTATTGACAGGATCTAAGTTGCACTAAAACAGAACAACACTATATTTCAATACATCGTGATGTATGTATAATTCACGTTCTATGGTCAAGTCAAAGATCAGATATTTATGCAATGAAATATACATATACTCACCGCTGTAACAATCTCTGTACATTCTTCGAGTAAATAATTATCCTGTGAGGCAACTGTACATTGCACCTGATCGCATTCATTTTCCTGTAGTTTGTATCTATAGGCTGTGGACTTCGGTGGCTTAGGGATAGGATCTCTTAACCATAAACGATACTGACGTCGAGTTGCTTTACTTCCTTGTAGCATGGTAACTTACATTGAAGACTTTGTATAAGGAATTAAAATTTCGAAAACACGTATTAGTTTTTAGTTAATCTTAGGCTTGCAGAGAAAACTTATTAATAAAATATTACAGAAAATCTCATATTAATATGAAGTCTTTTGAAGAGTTCCCAGTCTGATGTACAAGTATAAATATCAGTGCTATATGTATAAAAATATTATCGTGTTATGATGCTATATTTATTGTAAAAGTAACTATAAAAAATCGATCGTTTAAGTAGTTTTTGTATAGGCAGCTGTTTAAAAAAAGGTCATCTCAGTGTATTCTTTAAAATGAAGCCTCGCAAAAAATAGTATCTTACCTGTGATGTCGAAAACTTCAAATTTTTAATTTCTGATTTTAAAATCACGTAAGGACCAGCTGGTGATCGATGTGAAATTTAATTGAAAAAGTATTCAGCAATCACACGACAATCTTAGGCTGGATTCAGACTGGACGCCAGTGGACGCGATAAGCGATGAGCGACGAGCGATTATATATCCAATGAGCGTGCAGGTTATATTGGAAAGCGTACAGTTTTCCTATATAAAAACTGCACGCCCATTTGATATCGCGCGTCGCTCGTCGCTCATCGCGTCCAGTCTGAATCCAGCCTAAGATTGTCGTGTGATTGCTGAATAAATGTGAATTAACCTACTTGCGTATGCTCTGTATGAAAACTATGTATTCCACTGTTGTTGAAGTCGGTGCCACGGCGATTTTCGCTTGCGTATATCTTCTCTATTGGCGAAGTCGTAAGCTGCAGTGCAGTGTTGCAAGACATGAAACGCGGTCCCTCGGAAACAAAACAGAGGGCGTAGTGCATGTCTGTCTTACTGCGATGCTAATGGCTTCTGCACACAAGACGCGGAAACGCTTGCTACGCAGGAAAAGCATTGCGGTAACCAATCAATTTCGTCTTTCTGTAAGAACGAAAGAATGATTTGACGCTACCGCGTTGTTTCCTGCCGCGCAAACGTTTCCGCGTCCTGTGTGCAGAAGCCATGATTGGAGCTGAAAGCAGAGATGCAAACTTTGGGGCTGAGCACCGAGTGTAACACTTCGATGGTGCTCGGCCCCAAAGTTTGCATCTCTGGCTGAAAGCACATTCAATCGTTCAACGTTGCTCTTGTCGGTGAGTGTTCCCTCCATATTGTGTCCACCAAGGCTACGTACATCTCATTTCTGACATCATTGCTGCAGTGATACGATATTATAGCCGCGATCCACTGCGAATATATGATAAGGCGCAAGATAAAACCTAGCAAAGTGTTGCTAAGTGAGTAAGGTTAGTAGCTTAGAAATATTAGAGGTTACGCGTTAAAGACTTGTTTTGTGCAAATTTTTTCTGTTTCTCCCTTGTCCTTTCTATTAGATATCGGATCATTGACGGGAAGCAACGAGTTGATAATTAAATTTTTTTAATTTTTAAATGCGAGTGAAATTATTCTTAAAGTAAAAAAATGGATATAGAAGAAAAGATGTGGGCCCGTGTGGAATATGAACTTGATAAGCAAAAAGCTGATGTTCCACTATCCTTTTTCAAAGATCATGAAGTGGTATTTCGTGAACTGCAATCTTGTATTACAAGATCAATGTACAAGGTATTTTGGAGCAATAAACAATCAGATACCCCAAAAAAGATATTGAAAGAGCAAGGACAAATATTAGACATTGAAAAAATTGTGTGTGGAAAGAAAAGTGTGCCCGTTACAGGTTATTACACAGCCAAACTGCTGCAGTATGCAGGTGAGAGAGTTATTGCACATTCAATTCTTGTGTTGCACAATGTAGAAAACTGCTTATAACACATTTTTATTTTAGATTCTCTTCGTGATCTTCTTGCTTTGTGTGAAGACCAGAAGGGACGGAGGCCAATTCAGCCTACAATGAAAACAACAGAGCGCAAAGAAAACAAAGTAAGAAGGAGTATTCTTTCCCAATTTTTACCTCGACAGTTCTTTATAATAATATGTTTCTCTTAAAGAAAATGACGGGCAAGAATACGATGAGTAAGTACATTGAAGAAGCAAGGCAACACAATCTTTTAAGATTAAGCGATGATCCATGTGACCAAAACGAAAAAAGAGGAAAACTAACCAGTGAGGTATATTTATTGTGTTTTATATAATTTAACAAGTAACGTAATTGTCCTGTTCAAAATTTCACTAAGACTACATTTCAATTTAATAATTTTACATTGATTCCTTTGCTTAAGCCGATCTTTCCATTTAACACTTATAATAATAATTGCTCCTGTGCATCTTTGCATATCAGGAAATTAAAAGTAGCGAAGAGACAAAACTTTCAAACAAAGTTTGTTCTCTTCGAGAACTTTCGAATGATGGAGATGATTTGCGTTCTGTGGATTGCGTTTCAAAAAAAGATGATTGTAAGGGAAGGGTTATTAAGAAGCAAAGGACTGTAAGCACGAATAATACGGAAACCACTACGTCTTCATTCCATTCTCTTCAAGAAGAGCTCAGAGAATGGAAATTAAAATATGCAGCATTAGAAACGAAATACAAAGATTTTAAAGATCGCTACTTAAAAGTGTTGGACTTAAATGTTAGATGGCAAGAGAAAGAATTGTCACGTCACTCATCTCATCGGTCCTCTCACAAGCCAGAATCTTCAAAGGACAAAAATGCCAAGCATGATAGTTGTAAGTATTTTGTTTTAAAAGAAATGTATTGTTGTCACGGAATATTTCCATATTTTGACATGTTATTTCTCGTGCTTCGACTTTTGGGACAAAGTTGTAATAACAAAAAATACGTTTAATAGTTTTGTCAGTAATAAAATAATAATTGATCACGAGACACGGTAGTGTCTCGCGCCAAGTATAAGCGCAGCTAGAACCGCGCGCGCGAGATCGACCATGTGTAGTTTACGCGAGTACGCGAGTTGACAGACCCTCAGATTTTCAGATCTCAATAACGGCTGATCCGATGAACTTCTAAGTGGGCTCAATCTATAGCTTGGGTTCAATTTGCACAATAAGTGTTTTTATTTTTTTCCTACGTGCCCTCTGAGTGGAGATATTGCGACGTATATAGAATTTCCGATTTTTCATTTAAGAAACGTCGTCGTTTTGGTCGTGGTCGTTGCTTAGTCGACCAAGCAGTGGTGGGGGGAACGTCCTTTTCACATTTTAGACGCAACGTGACGCTCGTAAGCGTCACTGGCTCGGCGAAAGATCACGTGACACGTGACTGACGTTACCGACTTCACCGAGTGCGCGTAAACTAAACTTTTCGGGGATTGTAAGTTTAGATTGTATATTTCAGTACTTTAGCAACGCCAAGTTTTTTTAATAAACAATAATGTTGTGAATCAGGATCGATATGTATCCAACAATTAAATTAGAAATGGCCATCTTTTAATAAAATATTTATTTGTATTATATTGAGTACACTGCCCGTCAATAATTTGTTCCATTCCTCTAGCGAGTTTATATAGGATATGTTACATATCCTTTATAAATGAATGGAATTATGGAACGAATTAATGACGGGTAGTATAGGTCTTTCTTATGTATAGTTTTGTATTATTTTTTGAGCTCCATTAATATTGTTGATAACAATAATTTCTTTTTGTTATTAGTTTTTCAAGGTCTAAAACTGATTATCTGTTTTTAGATAATTCTAAAGATCTTCTGAAGAAGTGTAATAATCAACTAGAATATACTCAGTCTTCCAGTTCTAGTAGCAGTAAAAAGGTAAGTTCCCCTAATTTATTTATTATGTAATATATAAACATTTTTATGACTAATAAAACATTTAAAATTTTAAGACCCAATCATCTCAACGACGAAGTGATTTTAATCGCACTGATGGAAGTGACATAATAATAAATGATGATTTGCCTATTGTATGTATTAGATAAACGTTCATTAATAATGAAATAAATATAAATAAATATAAATGAAACGTGAAGGATGTCGCTTGTGCGAGAAATTGAACTGAAATTTTTAACTTACAGATTAACGACATTCCTTTAGGAGCAACCGTATTAAACATTGACCCGACAAATTCTCCTCCTAAAATTCTCTCGACAACAATCAATTCTCTGAGTAGCTCTCCGAGGAGTCAACATGCTAATCATGTGAGTGATAACTCTATTTAAAAAAGAATTATGTTGTGCGAGAAGAAAATATTTATGTAATAATTTAAATCTTTTACAGGTATTACCTGCGGCTGGCGACATGAATTTTGAGAAGAATTTAAATAACGTAAGCAAAACTTGTGAAATTTTACCGTATTTGGATAAGGTAAATAATAATTACTTAGAAATAAAATGTTCTACTAATCTCCTAAAATATTTTAAATACAATAATACAATACAACGACTTGTTTTTTGCGATCTGAATCGAACTTATCATGTTACAACTTATCAAACTTATCTAGTAGATTTCTTATGCTGAAACCAAATCCGTTCACAAAATTGCTGTAGCACAATTTTGAGAAAAATAGCGAAGAAACTTAACGGATGTTTTAGTAATATTTAGAGTACTAACTTTGAAATAAACATAATTAATAGGTCTTCTACTGTTTTTACAACATAAAAAATCTACAAGAAATGATAGGTTCAATTCAAATCGTAAAAGTCCTGTTGAAGTATATAATTAATAATAGTTCTTTCTCTTTTTTTATTGTTCACAGAGTGTTGCTAGGGCTATAAATAAAAATGATATTTTGGATGGGCCCGCTTATAACATTCAACCTCCAAAAGGAGTAAGTTAAATCTCCTAAACCTGTTTATTAAATAGTAGAATCACATCACCAAAAAATTAAAGTTGTTGTTAGTAACTCTGTTTTGGTGTGGGTGACCGCTTCTCTCTGTCTCTCTCTCTCTCTCCCCCCCCTCTCTCTCGTGTTGCAAACTTTAATAGTCTCATTATTTCTGTAGGTCTCTGCTGTATCACAAGCACAATTCGATCGACTAAACAAAGCTGAAACAGGGTCGAAGGGAGATTGGAAATTTGTTAAGAGAATCGCTGATATGATGTGGACCCGTGTGGAACTATCAAATAGAAGTGCTTCGGGAAGGCCCTGCCCAAATAAAATAAATTGTGAGGCACGGCAAGCATGCTCGCCTGATAAAAAGAAATATCTGTCAGGTATTAATTTCCGATGCTCATTAAGATTTACTCATTTAACAAATAGGTTGTGTTATTTTGGTAAATTTTTTTTCAGATCTTCTAGAAACAAGAATTTTCTTAGAAAACGCTTCTCTAAATCCGATGGATTTACATAAACGTCTGAGCAATATTAATAAGATATTGTCATCGAAAATAAAAACTGTTCGTAAAACATTCAAAGACATATCTTCTGAGGAAGAAAATTAAGACTTAATAATACAGAATATAAAAATTACAATTATAATAAATACTATACTCATTAATATATTACACAAACATTATATAAAAATTATAATTGTAATTATAAATTATAATTATATGTAATTATCAATATACATAAATATACAAATTTTAGAAAAAATATTTTCATATTTAAATTTTGTTTTTTTTCTACAATGTTTCTTGTGCTCTAGGTATATACCACTGACATATGTATAGAATGGATTGAGCGTTGCATTAGACAAATGCGCGTTTGCTGTGAAAAAAGAGGTAACTATTATATGGGAGGCCTATGTTTATCTCTTCTGCTAGCATCTCATTGGTAGTAGAGGGACAAAATTATCATTGAGAAATTAGCAAAAGATACAAACATACGCCTCTTATGTAGTGCTTCTCTTTCTACAGTAGGCGCGCGATTGCCTATTGCAATGCTAAGTCCATTTT